AATAGTATATAAATTAAAATTATCTTTTAATTCTTAAAGACCAACTAGGACTTATTAGGACTTTTACCAACCCTAGCTATGATAGCACTGGATCTTTAACTAGTATTCCATCACATAATGAGATTATAGCAAAATATGATACCAGAATGACTGCTATACTTCAGCAATGCTTATCTGAAAAGCAACCTATACATTTTATGCTTACAGATGTGAGTGATGAAGCCGAATATATAAATGAGTGTCTACCTATATTTTATGTATCAGTGGTACTTTGAATCAATAGGCAAAGGCAATCATAGATATTACAGACATCAAACCCATTTTTGATGTTAAAGTGTCAGAAAACTATTCCTCATCTGATCCTAGAGAGAACCCTTCATTTAAGACTATATTAGCACGCATTTTATCTGCTACTCTCAAAAATACATTAAAGTTTAGGTTTGAGGATATTCGCGCTTTCCCACTTCAAGAATATCATACAGTAAAAAAAGCATATATCCGTGTGAGAACATGGAACTACTTTGATTGGAATAATACATTAAAAGCAGTTTGTGAAGTTGGTATTTGTACTGCTTCCAATGATCTAACTTCCAAATATTATCATCATAAAATAACCTGTGAAGAAAGATTACCTTTTTCAAGTTGGCAGTATTTTGCAACTATTCATATACACCTTCAGTAAATGCTTATCTCTTCCAAATATCCGTGGATAATTACAAACCAATAAGCGATAATGAGTACAATAATCAATTAATTTTCTTGGCACTTTTATGAGATCGTACCCTCATTCTCATATGGGACATAGAGACATATAGTTCACAAAGAACTGGTGAGATGCTCAATGCAAAATACGATGATGATGTTATATTCATGATTTATTTAACAGATTATTAGAAAGATGATCCCAAACCATTAAAACAAATTTGTCTTGTCGATGTTGAAATTGCATCAGACCCACAATGGATTACAATTGTATATAGAGACCAAACTAATTTACTGAAAGCATTTGCATTATGTTGGAAACTTTTAGTCCTGGATATACAAATAAGCTTTAATGATTTGCAATATAACTGATCATTTATTGTGAAGAAAGCTAAAAAATTAGGGTACTCAAATGGATGTTCAATTATATGGGAGGTTTGCTAGAAAAATGGGATTCTGAGACTAAAAATTTTTTTTGAATAAATTAAAAAATCAAAATAAATAAAAAACTAGCTTTAAATTTGAAGCAATCTATTTTTAGGTCATGTGATATATATCATATGGGAACGTTTCCAGTAAAATCAAGTTATGAGGCATAGTAAATCATATGATCCATAATGTGATTTTACTGGA